TTAAATGACTCCTTGACAACAACACTTGAGATATTTGCCATAGAGATTGCCAATGAAGCGCAGTCTAAAAACATTGTTGTTGTTGTTGCTTACCGACCACCTTCGTGTTCTGTTGGAACTTTTTGCGAATCAATCGATGATGTCCTGACACGTTTAAATGAAAAAAATAAACACATCGTGGTCACAGGAGACTTCAACATAAACTTAACTGACGATATAAACAGCAATAATAACCAACTGCAACAAATCATGGATCTGCACGGTCTTTGTAAATTAATAAATCTCCCCACCAGAATAACAGCAAACAAACAATCAGTTATTGACAACATATTTGTAGATGGCTCGTTGAATGTGTGCTTGCAAGGAGTGTTGGCCTGTGATTTGTCTGATCATTTGCCGGTCCTCACACAAATTTCTTTCAGCAAACAAGTAAAAAAAGAAAAACTCATCGTAGCTCCTTCAACAAAATTCTTGTTCTCATCAAATCGAATCAGCAACTTAAATAAACGACTTTGTGAAATTGATTGGACCGACGTATATGATTGTTGGGATGTCGAAATGGCTTGGGTAAAATTTGTCGAGCTTTTCAAATGTTGTATGATAAAATGCTGCCAAGTAAGTAATAATAAAATTAATAAGATCAGCAAACAAAAGCCATGGTTCAATAGTGAAAATAAAAAGATACTGAAAGCTAAAAATCGATTGTTTAAAAAATCCCTTAAAAACCCAAATGATGAAAACAATAATAATTATAAATCTGCAAATAAAATTTATACAAAAATAAAAAACAACGCAAAGAAACAGTATTTCCATAATATTCTAGAAAATAACAAACATGATATGAAAAAATCATGGAAAATTATGAATGATGTTCTGAGGAGATCAAATAACGACTCAAAAAGTAATAATATACATCTGAAAAGAAATGGCCAGATTGTAAATGATCCAGAAAATGCTCTAAATGATCACTTTGTTTCTATCGCCGAGAAACTTAACGTAC